CGCAAGGAAATTTTCACAGTATGTCTGATAATATTTTTTCTTCTGGAAAAAATCTTATCTGTTTTATTTCGGCTAGAATAAAAGCAGTTATTAATTAAAAAAAAGGCATTTTAAGGACAAAATTATTAGCCCCTTTAAGCTATATTTTTTCCTGATAGTCTACAGAACAAACCATTATTAACTTGCCTAATTATCCTAACCTGCATAGTTACCCTAATCAACCTAGTTAAGCCTTTAAATGTCACTTCAAGCTGTATAGAAGTGTCTTGAAAAATATCTATTTAAAAATTAGTTACTGTCATCATGACAAATAATAGAAATCAATTATTAGAAATGAGTTGTTAAAACTATTATGTTTAGAAATGTGTTGAAATAATCTTCTCTTCGTTAAACAGAAATTGGGGAAAAAATAAACAGGGGTGCTAATAATTCAGGGGGGGCTAATAATTCTGACTTCAACTGTATGTACAAAATCTCAGGAACAATGTTATTTACATTTTAACAGATTATTTAAGAGCAAGATTTTAATTACCTTGAAGAAGACATTTCCATACACAACAGGCCCAGAAAACAGCAAGGAGACCAGCTCCATAAAACACACTCTGCCACCCAAACCAGTCCAGCATCAGGGAGCCCACTCCTCCAACCAGCATCATCCTGACAGAAAACCAACAAGAGTACAAATGGATGGGTTGTTTTAACCAATATTTAAGTAAAATACTGAAAAACCCAACAACTGAGTAAAATATTTAATAGTAAAGTGTTGGATTTGTTGATATATTTTATCTCAATTTGCATAAAAATAACTCAGCATTTATTAAGAGTATATTAGACAATGAATTAAGGTATAAGTCCACAGATACCCATCAAAAAGACTTGAAACAAGTTTCTATAGATCAAAAATGTATGATTTTGGACATTATTGTAAGCCAGGTCTAGTTTTCTTACCCAAGGTAGCAGCCACAGGCCAAAGTGCTCATCAGTAAACCTCTCTCCCCCTCTGTCACCCGCTGAGAACAGATGCTGACCAGAGAAGGGTAGTGAACACCTGTAAATAACAACGATGGTCACTGAAATTCTTTGCCCCTGAATTGTCTTTATAAAAACCAAAAAACATTCTTTAGTCAGAGATAAATATAGCAAAAAGTCAGTTATGCTAAGATGGGTTTCATTGATGTTCACAATCTAATATTTATACAATTTAAAATGTCAATTATTTTGGAATAAAAAATAAAGAAAATGTTTATTATAAATGCAGCATGCATTAGAAAAAAAAACATTAATAACTGACTTTGTCCTACATGTATTTTACTTTTCACAACATATTTATAATTGTCATATTTATGTAATATATTATTCCTAATTATGAATCATATTTTTATTTTAATATGCTGTAATTCTCAATTAGCAAAGCATTTACATTTTTTCTCTTATGTGATGGAATCATCCTTTAATAAAGAGCCAGATGAGATATACAGTTGAAGTCGTATTTATTATATATTTTTTTCTTTTTTAAATATTTCCCAAATTATGTTTAACAGAGCAAGGATATTGTCACAGCATGTCTAATAATATTTTCTTCTTCTGTAGAAAACCTTATTTGTTTATTTTGGCTAGAATAAAAGCAGTTTTTAATATTTTAAAAAAACCTTTTAAAGGTCAAAATTTAAGCTATATTTTTTCGATCTGCTCTCTGTTAAACAGAAATTGTGGACAAAATAAACAGGTGGGTTAATAATTCATGGGATCTAATAATTCTTACTTCAACTGTAAGTGAAGGCTAAAAAAACATGTTCTATCCAAAATTAACCACTAAAATGACTGCGGATGAGCAGATTCAGATTAAACTGACTTAGACCCACCCTAGTAATTACACCCATTGCCCCAGCATCTGATCCCACAGGCTTATTAGAAGGGAAATGACTAGTTCAAACATGCTGACACATTTCTTAGATTCATTCTGTATACTGTCAAATATCTTTCTTTCTTTATACACTTTTTCCTCTCCTGTGCCTCCTAAAGTCTTCACCTTGCATTACACCCAATAGAAACCTGGACGCTGTCATTGTAAGAAGAGGTGAGAGTCCAGTCTTTGCCAGTATTGGGGTCAGAGCTGTCATTATGCCCCATGAGGAGGTGGAAAGAAGCAGCACTCGTTCTCCTCCAATCCTGAAAAAAAAAAAACTTCATAATCAGAATCTACATCATCTAGAGCCTCAGACTTTGACCTAAACACTTACCTGTCACTGGCGTGACCCCCAACCACCTGAGTGAAACAGTAGCCCCAGAAAAAAGCCCCCAGCACCATGCCAGTCTCTGTCTTGCTCCATTCAAATTCTCTAGCCATGGTGACGGCACAGATCGGCATGGCCATCCGTGACCAATGGAGAACACATGTGACCAGCAGTAGCATCAGGGTCCATGTCCGGGCCAGTGGCCTGCAGCAGATGGACATTACAATTATAACAGTGCCTAATAGGCTTGCTGTATCTCAAATGTTCATAGGTGCAGTGCTCACCATATACAAGTACATCCTACACAAATCTATCTTTAAAATTCATATTTTTATAGAAAGCTGTACAATATTATATTTGTGCATATACATTAGATTAGACAGTACTGAAGCAAATCTGGAGCATATCTAACAAAATAACTTACGATAACGGTTCAAAAACTAGTACAACCAAATGTATGTTATAGAAAAACATTAAATACAAATAAAAAAAATAGGAAAAATCAAGAAAAGCAAAAAAATGAAAAAAAATTTGTTGAAATTTTGTAGGTTGTAATTTTTTTGTGCAATATTTAGCTTGAATTTAATTGTATTCTCTTTAAAATTCTAAATGTTTTGAATTTAATAAAATATTATTTTAATAAATATATCTGTGTAATAAACCTGTTTGTATAAATGCACAAAAATACATTTCCTATGTTCACAGAGAAATGCATAGAAGTATTCATTTTCAAAATGGGGTGTACTCAATTATGCTGGGCACTGTATATAGTTGGTGACATGGGATTTTTAATAAATTATTTTTGTTATCCATTGGTTTTAAAATACCCCAAATAGAGTTATTTAAATTAACTAAAACTGAAACTGAAACAAAAAAAAAAAAACTTTATTAATTGGCATTGATGGCTCCATGAAGAAATTTCATACCAATGGAAAACTGGAATCCTCTCATGTTTCAAAGCCTTTTTATAATGAAAAAACTTTCTTTTTACTTTGTTAAAATATTCAGACTAAAAAAAAAAATATTGAATGAATACACTGAATGTTGCAACCTCAAAACTGAATTAAAGTGTATCTGAACAGAAGTATATATGTATCTCTTTATCTGTCCCACCAAGAAATATTTTTTGGGTTGCATTTCTGAACTTCTAATGTTGCTAGTTAACACACTCAATGCATATTTTTCTTCAACACATCCCATAATTTTTAAAATATAAACCATTTGGTAGAGGTTGGTATGTTGGTTTATAGTAAAAGTACCGGAATTAATAGTTATACTGTGAAAAATCTGAAAATGTGAGGTGTAAAACCAATTTATTTAAAACTATATATAAAAAAAACAATTCTGAATACCAAATCATCTTTATTTTCAAAGTTCGCCATGCAATACTTCTGATTCTGATTTAACACGTTGTCTTGTTTTTTTTTTGTGTTTTTTTTTTTTTACAATAAAACTAAAATCAAGTGTTGTAGTTCAACAGGATTATATTTGTTCGATTTTCTGGTAAAGCAACAATGCTGTGTGTGTAAACCTTTTATTAAAACAGTCATTCTTTAAATGACTTAAACAGTCATTATTTAAAACAGTCAAAATATGGTCAACCGTTTGGTAGAGCGGACAGTTAATTAAGAACACTTCACAAAAAAAAATCTTTGTGTAACCCAAAATGGCTTTGTGGAATCACTGTGAAAACTGTGGCAAGATGCCTAATAGGCCTATACACCTAATGTATTAAACTAAAATTAACTTAAAAATACATTTAATAAAAACTCTCATCGACCACAAGTCTGAAGAAATAATTATATATCTGTGTAATACAGATATTAAAATAGCAAATAAAAATTACAAATTGTGTATTGTATTCATATATGTGTCTTTTTATTGTTTTGAGTGAGATTCGCTAATTTCCATTTGGATAAATGTCTCGAGTTGGCTAGTTTAAAGAACAAGAATATATAATAAATGCGTTTTACTCAAACACAAACTGTGAATACCTCGAAATTGAGAATTTGTACGAGTTCTCCTAGTGTTTCCATATATAATCCGCAAAAATAAACATCAAAATATCAAGGGACCGCTGAAACAGAGCAGATGATTTCTACGCAACAGTTGCCAGGAAGCAAAATTTAGGGAATGATGGAGGAGACTTTCAGTCCGCGGTGTTAGCGAGTTTACAGTTGATCATACGAGAATCTTTTACCTGCGGCGCTCCAGATGACGAATTCCAGTGCCATCAACGCACAGGTGAACGATGTTTAAATATATGAATTTAAGCAAACAATGTTTATCATACCTTGGCCATACTGTTGGCTTGGAGCTACTTTGCGTTATCTGTAATCCAGGTGTACTGCAGTCGCATTGTTTTATGAAGGGTACGTCCTCATGAGGGTTAAAGAGGCCAGTTTCCTGCTCATCGGCCATTACATCCAAATGAGTAAAAACCGGTCGCTGACCACCGGCTCTAAACCGAACAGGAAAGTTTGCATTTTAGAGCACGCAAAGAAAAGAAGGCGGGGACGCGCTTCCGACACACCTATGACAGTTTTGTTTTGGAGAGCAACTCTTCCTGAACGGGTTTTATTCATGACGACTGTGGGAATGTGGTCATTCTTGTTTATCTGGTGACAACGTAGGAACGCTGGATGAAACATCTCCTGATGGAACATTGTTCTGGATTCAAAAGATCTCTATGGATTCTGAGGATCTAGTCCTAATAAACAGAAGCTACCATAAAATGTGAATCCAAAAGAATTCTAGTACAAAACATTTACTGTGAAATCAACTTTATCCCAAACAAGCAGTACAAAATGTGAACAAAAATTAAACCATAAACAAAATGCTTCAAATCTGAAATGACAATATGTGTTGTATTGTAATTAAAATAGCTTATAATGGAAGTCTAAAACATTTGCTTAATTGACCACATCTGTAGCTGCGCATAAATTAAAAATAATAATAATTACAGGAATTATGATAAAAGTAGTTCAGTAATATCAGTCTCCAGCGAAAATAAAAATGAATCTGATTACTTTTCTTTCCAACCAGAAACTGAAGAAAGAGCCTAATATAAGCATGAGGACACAGTGTTGAGAAAGACAATGGAAAACACATAAAACACAGATATGTCAGTCCGAAAGTGTCCATAGTACCATAGGAATATTCTATATTCTTCAGAAAATAGGCTACCAGCATAGTAAATGGTAGATTAAAATAAAGATTTAGGTTTACTGCTTTCAGTCAATATAGTTTTGATTGAAATAAAACCATATACTGTTAGGTTACTTTTTATAGAGGCCTCAAGGAAAAAATATACATTAAATATAGATTTATATTTTCCATCCGGCCACTGACCGTTCATAAATAGGACAAAAAAACGAAAGAAAAAAAACAAAGTGTGTCCATGTGCATTACAGTCTCTACTTGGGGTCTTCGATGGTGCCCTTGCTGAGGTCTGTCATTCTGGAGTATTTCACTTTTTTCTGGTCCAGTTCATTCTGAGCCCACAGTAAAAGCTTCAGCAGTTTTGCTAATTTCGGAGTAGATTCCCTGTTTTCATAGTCTAGAACAGCCTGGTTAACCTCGCTCCACACCTGTAGAGGGAGACAGAAGCCAGCAGTGAGGAGGGATGATCACACACATACATATATATATATATATATATATATATATATATATACATATATATATATATATATATATATATATATATATGCATGATTCCTACTAAATACTGTCATGCTCTCTACTGCCATGTTTCCCAACCCTGTTCCTGAAGGCACACCAACAGTACACATTTGCAAACTCTTCCTAATCAAACACACCTGAATAGACTCATTAAAACATTAGAACCTCAAATTAATGTCAGCTAAGGGAGAAATTCAAAATAAGCTCACCGGCCACTTTATTAGGTACACCTTTCTAGTACCAGGGCGGACCCCTTTTTGCCTTCAGAACAGCCTTAATTCTTCATGGCATAGATTCAACAAGATACTGGAAATATTCCTCAGAGAAGATGGGTACACTGTGGTCATAAAGGGATGTACATGGTGAGCAACAATACTCAGGTAGGCTGTGGCATTAACACAGTGCTCAATTGATACTGACGAGCCCAAAGTGTGCCAAGTTTCCTGTCCTTAGCTGACAGGAGTGGCACTCTGTGTGGTCTTCTGCTGCTGTTGCCCATCTGCCTCAAGGTTGGATGTGTTGTGCATTCAGAAAGGCTCTTCTGCATACCTTGGTTGTAACAAATTATTTGGGTTACTGTTTCTGTTCTATCAGTTGGAACCAGTCTGGCCATTCTCCTCTGACCTCTGGCATAAACAAGGCATTGGCACCCACAGAACTGCCACTCACTGGATATTTTCTCTTTTTCTGGCCATTCTCTGTAAACTCTAGAGATTTATGCATGAAAATCCATGTAGATCAGCAGTTGCTGAAATACTCAGACCAGCCCGTCTTACATCAACAAACATGCTACGATCAAAGTCACTTAAATACCCTTTCTCCTCCATTGTGATGCTTGGTTTACACTGCAGCAGATCCTCTGCCTAAATGCATTGCCATGTGCACTGCCATGTGATTGGCTGATTAGAAATTTGCATTAACGAGCAGCTGGACAGGTGTACCTAATAGACTGGCTGGTGAATGTATGTACTGTTGGGAAACACTACTCTACTGTATTTTAGCTGGAGAAGATCTGTCATAGACACATGAAAAGATCTGTAACTAATCGTTATGCTCTACAGGATTATAACACACCTTCTGCCTCTGCATCATGTTGAGCAGGTCTCCAAACGGCGACTCTTCAGGATTGTCGAAGGCGAGCAGTGCCAGTGTTCTCTCCATCTCTGTCAGACACTCTCTGCTCTCCTCACCCTGTTCAGCCAGCTGGGACTGTGCAAACTCCAGCGCCGCCTCCGTCTCCCGCAGACGGATGAGCTCAATCAGATGCTGCTGCTGCGTTAAAAAAAAAAAATTTAAAATTAAGGACAGCAAGATATTGGAGAAAAACTCACATTTTGTTCATTATACATTAATTACAGAACTGGAGCGTGTCTGAAGATTTTGATAAAGGATTTTAAGGGCTTAATGATTTAGTAATGATTTTGGAAAATTTACAGCAGTATTATCTACAAGTAGTGTTATTTCAGTAATTTTCTATTGAAATATCATGTTAAGTGTTTCTTTGTAATCTTTTGTGAAATGTACTATAATGGGTGACAACATGAATTTAAATCCTACATCTAATATTTTCCAGTTTACATTTTTTTTTACCACTTTCACATGACAAAAAATCTCTGCAAAGTTTTGCTCCAACCCTATTCAAACACAGTTGATCACACTAATCAAGGTGTTCAAAACTACTTGAGACTATTAAGCAGGTGTGAGTTGTAGATGGTTGGAGCTAAACTATGCAGAGCTGTGGCCCTCCAGGAATTGAGTTTGAGACCATTGCTCTAAAATTCAAAAATTGTGCAGGTATTGCATCACTATCTGCCAGTACTCTAAATTGTTGGTAGGCACGAGCCTGTGTAGCAGTCGATTCCGTTCCCTTCTGGAATTCCTGTTCCCCCCTCTAAGAAGCGTGTCCACTAACAGCGCATGCAAGTGCACCCAAACACAACTGGGTTTATGGAAAGCAAAGTGGTTTAAAAAGTACGTATTTTTTCTGATCTTGAAAATGGAAAGGACTAACATAACCGTTACGCGCAATATTAAACCGGGGTGCATAAACTCAGACATTAAAAAAAAAAAAAAACTACGACAACAAACAAGAACCACAGAAAATAATGTAACATAATGGAAGTGTTAGATTAATTTTATTACGCTACTTTGGCATTGCAAGACATGAAAGCATTGCCAACACTTTTGTAAATTTTCTCTTTCCATACATCCAGTTGTGTTTGGGTTGTGTCCGCATACTCTGTTAGCGGACACACTTCTTAGTGGGGGAACTGGAATTCCAGAAGGGAACAAAATCAACTGCTACACCGGTATAAGTTTCTAACGGTTTGATAACCTAGGACAGAAATATCACGGTTTTACAGTATTGTGATTACTGCTCTTAAGTATATCCTTTTTCAAATGTCTGGGGGGAAAAACAACAACTTTTTTTCCACTTTGAACCCAATATATTTTATTTTGAGAAACATTTAAATATTTTGGAGCAGTAAACATGATATTACTGATATTAACAGATACTGTTGTCCTAAAAAAATGTAAATAAAAAAATCTAACAACTACCTTAAGATCGGTATAGCAGAAAATTGTGGCGAGTTTAAAACCTCGGCTTTTCCAAACCGCCGTATACCTTAAAAACTGTTATCGTCCGATGCCTAATTGCCTAATAAGCATTCCTTCTAATATCTGTTAGATATTTTCTCTATACAAAACTAGATGTTTACCTGAAGGTGAAAGTAAAGGTATCGATTGGTGTCAAGAAGCTCTGGGTGGAGGCTGTTAATGAGAGCAATGGCTTCCTGGATCTGACCTTTTAGAACCATTTCCCTGATCTTTATCCTCTCATCCAGAGAGTCTAGATCAACATTCGGCTCGATCCCAGATTCCATGCGGAACTTCTCTGCAGCCTCTTTAAAACCCTCTGTAAAAGAAAAACAGATCCGCCCTGCAGGTTAGGCTTTTGATTTTGGAGTAATAATATGCAAAGTCACATGAAGATAATTTTCACATTTATTTGAATAAAACACAAAATAAAACTGACATACCGGTTACTAAATAGTTCATGATGAGCCTGTTCATGTCCGCCCTCTGAATGTGCACATTATTTAGTTTATCCATCCATTCCTCCTTTGTAATGTCCTCAGGCTTTTCTGAATAGCTCATCACGGATGTACTGGGGTAAACAAGACATGAAATGACAACAAATATCATTTTGCACTCATTTAACATAAAATTAATGCACGGTTACTCGCGTTTTTTATTAAATGTAAGTGTGAGAAAAGAAGCATGGAGTATTTTTAGTGTATGTTGCGTTTGACTGTTCAAATTATGAAGAAAGTGAAACCTATTTTCGCCTCAAGGAAGGTTAAGATTAAGTTGTTGGTGTTTGATGGTAAATGAATGAACTGCACTGTGCGCGTTCATATTTTCGCGGTGTTTCTGCTCATAGACACAGGCACAACAGAGCAGCCAGCGGATCACGGACAGCCACACAGCACACGAGACGTAAAAACAAATATTTTTAAATGGTGACACTTATGCAGTCGACAATTAAAATCAATAAAAGCTAGACAACTGAAATGCTTCGCGTGTATCTGGACACGAAAATAAACAAACGCCGAGCGCACGAACGCGTGACAGACAAAAACAGGGCTCGTTCAGCCATTTTCTAGCCACATTTACCGGTGAGCACGCATAAAATAAAATAATTCCTTATCGTATTTATTTGAGCGGTTTTCTGTTAATTTTACATGAATGTTTCGCAAACTATTAAGAATCGACATAAAATACTTACTGTTTACGTTATAAATAGCGATGGGCCTCAGCGAAGATCACGCGATAACAGAGAAGAGCTCGTAACGAGACTTGAGGGGAGGGCTGGGATTGGTTAGAATACTGACGTCACGGTTGCTGTGGCAAAGCTGGAAAGGTTGCCAGATCAGGTGGAAAATAAAAAAGGTTGCCAGATCAGGTGGGAAGTTGCGACGAACTGATTAAACAGATTTAATAAGTTACAGAAATAGCACAAATAGCTACTTTAAATACAAATAAGATAAAAGAATTTTAGAGTAATCTAGAATCATTTAGAATAATTCATCGTACATATCCAGGGAATACTCTCTTAGTAAAAAAACAAAAAGATATTGATAATAGTTGTTCCTTTTGTAAGCAACACCCAGAGTCATTTTGGCAATGCAGTTATTCTGATTCGCTTAGGAATTTTTCCCTTTTTGTGATTGAGAACATTGAAAAAGATTTACTATGAGAAAATATTTAGTTTTGTTATGAATTGCAAAGCAGAACCTTGATTAAAATAAAATGTATTTTCTTAATTTTCTTATGTTATTAACAAAATTTATTTTACATAAATATAAATTTACAAACCAAAACCTTTTGTTATATTTTGCTTACTGAAATGCAGTATTACTTTGAAACGATTTCAATAATGATCTTTAATGTGTGATGCATATACCCCTACTGTTATATATATATATATATATATATATATATATATATATATATATATATATATATATATATAAAATTTTGTCCTTAAAATGGTGTTAAAAAAATTAAAAACTGCTCTTATTCTAGCCGAAATAAAACAAATAAGACTTTCTCCAGAAGAAACAATATTGTCAGACATACTGTGAAAATGTCCTTGCTCTGTTAAACATCATTTAGGAAATATTTTAAAAAGAAGAAAAATTTCAAAGGGGAGCTAATAATTCTGACTTCAAACTGTTATTATATATAATATAAAAACTAATATATATATACACACACACATATATATATATTTTTTCTCCCATTTCCTTTTTAATGGACTGTGAATGTATATTTTCACTTTTCACATAATAATAATAAAAGAACTTTAAAGCGAAATAAAAACGATATACTGAATATTAATAAATGAATCAAGTTTGTATTCAAAGGTTTTAGTCTATTTAGAAACGATTTCTGAAAGAAAATTCAGTTTTTAACAGGAAAATATACCTATTGAGTTTAAATTAGCATGAATGTTTTCATATAGACTTGTTTTTTAGCATCAAATTTTAAAAACCACCCTATAGAGCCTATGTAATTGCATGTTAACGTTACAGATCGTATGTTTTTGTTTTCTCACATTTTACACTAACCTCATAATGTTTAACCAATAACTATACAATATTAGTAATCATGTAATAGCCTTTTTTTAAACTAACATATTCAGCAATTTCACAGTTTTTTGTCAAATAAATATAGGCTACACAAACAATAACCATTGATGGTTTACCTTGTCACTCTCTAACCTTCGCAAAACAAGCTTGAATTTGCCTAATCCTCTTATCTAACACAGGACTGTTATTGCAAAACAAGCATCAAAATAAACTGTAGGGCCAAAAAGATAATTGATTATGTCTCAGAGATCAGATGAGATTAGACTATCACCTTTATTATGAAGACCAGATGAGAAAACAATGGTGGGGAGATTTTTGGCACAACATGTCTAGATAATACAGTGCAATAATCTATTGTTTATCGTCTCTCCGCATTACATTAAATTGACAACAGAAGGTATTAAAATCTGCCTTATGATGACCAGATTGTAAGAGCCAATGAAAAAATATTTTTATTTTTTTGTGCTATCAGGTGGAACCACACCATATGTTGTCACATACAAAAACAGGTGATGCAATTACACCTTTGTGTGTCACGTTTACAGTGATTTTATATATTTTTTAGTAAACCAAGTCAATTTTTTGTTTTATTTGATAATCAAATATTCTGTAAGCTGTAAAAAATATGCTTAGTTTAATTTTTATAAATCTAGCATGTCATTAAAATTTAGCTTCAATGTTTCTTTGAGGGCCGTATGGGGGCTCATTGGTTACCACTGTTGCTTTACAGCAAGAAGGTCACTAGTTCGAGTCTCGGCTGGACCAGTTGGCATTTCTGTGTGGAGTTTGCATGTTATCCTTATGTTGGCATGGGTTTTCTCTGGGTGCTTCGGTTTCAGTCTAAAGACAATGTGCTAAGTGAATTGAATAAACTACATTGGACATAGTGCTTAAAATATATGCTGGATAAGTTGGCGGTTCATTCTGCTGTGGCGGCCCCTGATAAATAAGGGACAAAGGTGAAAGAAAATTAATAAACAAGTGTTTCTTTGTGGCCTGTAAAAGATTTAACACAACTTATTTTCAAGAGTTATTTCAATTGAATTGGCAGATATAGCCTGATGTTTCTTATGTCCAGGGATAACTCATCTAAAAATAATAATTTCCTCAATATTTATTCAACCTCAAGTGGTTAAACCTTTGTGTGGAAAAACATAGAAGAAAATGGTTACAGGTTTATTTATTTTTTTTCAAAATATATTTTGAGTTCAGCTGTAGAAAGAAACTCAGCTTTGGAACAAGAGAAGGGAGAGTAAATGATAAGAGATTTTTTATTTTTGTGTGAACTAACCCTTTAAGCATACTTTTTATTATCCTAGTTTTGTTTTGCTTTAACTAAAGCATGCAGTAAAGAATGAAAATTATGGATCTTTAAATGATTCTCCAATATAAGATTTAAGTCTCCGGAACTAGTTTTATACTATTACTTTAAAAAAAACAAAAAAACTAAAATAATAAAAATATAAATATATATGTATGAACAAATATAAAATTATTTACAGGCATCCGGTTCTATCAAGAACCTTGGCATAATTCTTTTCATTCCACAATATGTTCTTTACTGGGAAAATGTTTGAATATTGTGCACACTAAGGGAAAAAAAGTATATTTTTAAGCTGCTCGCCAAACAGTTCTTTATTGGGCAGCCATGAAAAATGATTCTTCAGTGGCATCACTGCAAAACTGGCACCTTTTATTTTTACGAGTTTTGGCATAAAATATATAGCTATATATTTTAATATTATATATAAAAAAATCTATTTCCCAGGGATGGATTGTGGCTGGAAGGGCGTCCGCTGTATGAAAAACGTGCTGGATAAGTTGGCGGTTCATTCCGCTGTGGCAACCCACAGTTCACCACAATATTTTAATTTAGTTAACATTTACTATCCCTCCACTTGTTCAAAACATGTCTGAATTATTTCCTTCTGTTAAACACAAAGGAAGATACTGAAAAAAGTTGGAAACCCCCAGCCATGGATAGTCTAATTTCTTTTTTTCATCCTATGAAGTCAATGGCTGCAGTTTTTATTTGTCAAAATATCGTCTTTTGTGTTTAACAAAACAAAGAAAGTCAAATGGAAACCGCTTGAGATTAGTGAGTACTTTTCAGAATTGGGTAAACTATTAAATAAAAAACTAAAAAAAAAAACTATTAAAAAAAACTCAAGACAAATGTTTTTTTTTTTTTTTTTTTTACAGAAATATATATTTATTCGTCATTGCACTATAAAACGTAGATGATAGAAGAAAAGAAGAGAAGAAAAGATAGAAAAATGTTTCAAAGACCATGCACATATGGAACAAATGATGTCCTTACAATATTATTTACACAAGCAAGAACCTGAAACAATACATTTTAGGTGTATAATTATCATCAGATTGCTCACATGCTAAGAAACAAAAACACACTGACAGTCTATATATGTGACAGCGTGTAAGGTGGCATCATAACATTCTGTGTCACATCCATCTGCTCTACTATCCTCCGCATCTCCTTCAAGGCTCGAGCCTGCATCAGGATGTGGTTCTTGGCCAGGAGAAGTGTCGCTATCTTGGACAATTTCTTCACCTTGCGGTTCGACGTGTACGGAATGACAGCCCTCAGGTCATCCAGCGCTTCGTTGAGATCGTGCATGCGCCTTCGTTCACGCGCATTGATTAACAACCGCAGCGCGCCTGGCTCTTTGACTGTCCTGCTGCTCGACACCGAGTTTCCGTGACATCCACTTTCCAGACCCTGGAAACTTTTTCTGTCGGTCTCCGCTGATGTCGTCACATCGATAATTTGATGGCTTGTGGTGAAATTGTCGAAGGGATGCGCGGGATCTCCTTCACCGAGGCGCGCGCAGCCCATACTGGTGTAGAAGCGCGGGTCACCAACAACTGCCATTGGATTCATTTTCCAGATGTTCATTCTGATGCCAAATATGATTGTAATATTCATCCACGTCTGACGTCCTTTGTCGATTGAGTTTATCGCAGTATTTTATACGCTTATTTGACCTGTCAAAACTTTTATAGGATTAAGAGTCTGTCCAATCAGATAAGCGCGCAGTCACAAAAACAAACAGGTGCTGTTTTTATCAGATAGGGAGCTTATTGTTGTAAAGTAAACATTGTAATATGCCATTATAAGATTGAAATAAACGTTTAGTCGTTATGAAAACGATGAAATATTTTATGGGAAATGTAAATTCAAATAGTTAGCCTAAATTAAAGCAAGAATAATGGCAATATTATTATGGCTGTAGCATGAAAAACAGACATATTTTGCTCAGGTGGTGTTTTTTTTTGTTGTTCTTTTTTACAATATCATGATAGCCAGTCAAGCTATAATTTGTATATTTTATCACATAAACTGACTTTGTGAGAGATGGATACGACAGGCTTTGCTTTTGGAAAGTGGGTCATCACGCCAAATTACTGTGTTAATCTGAAAGCAAAAGGGTGCAGACATTTCCAAAAATTCTCCCTCAGAAAGTCAGAAGAAAACTGGGACACAGAAATGGTTTTTTGTGTGTGACAATAAGGAAAATGTGAAAATTTATCACAAAGGTTTTTAAACTGGAGTCCAGGAACTCCTAATTTAAATAAAGTTTAAAGTAAAGTAATATAGCCTATTTTTATTCAAAATGCAAATGAAACATACACTTTTTAAACAATAGACCCAAAATTATTAAAATATTGAAATTACAATAACTTTGAAATTATTAATGCAAACATTATAAAGGAATAAAATTCAAGTAAATAAGGTGAATTAAAATAAATATAAAAATAGATGAAAATGATTAAAATTACAGATAATCAATTAATTTTCAAAAATATTTAATAGACATGTTATGTAAATTACTAGAAAATAACTGCAACAACATAACTTAAAATGTTTCAAATATTATATTATGAATGTGTATCTACAATAATTTGATCTTTATCTATGAAACTCCATCCTATATTAGGAAAATGGTTTCCCCAATTGTACAAAATTAAATGCTATAATAAATGACAACACCCATCTTTCACCCAAGAAATGCCCCAAACTGATTAATTAGTCATCATTTACTAATGCAAATGAGCATGATTGCAAATTAGACTTGCAGCGCTGGAGGGATCCTGTGCATGTGGAGGGGGTTGATGGGACGCAATCAAGTATTTTGTGATAAGGAGAAGCATCTGTTTAATAAGTGAGAGTTGACAGTGTAATTTGTTTATTCTAATCATTTAAATGCAAACAGGATTGCATTATAAACATGCGAAATAAGGAGAGGAATTATATTAATTATCTAAAATTATTTTTGATCATATTGGCAGTGCGAGATAAACACATGATATTTTCTCAGATTATATTTTTTGAGTGAATTTATTATGTAAAATCTAAATTATGCAGTACAGATTTAGGGGTTGTTCACACGTCAGCGATGTACTCAAATCAGAAATATTGTTTTTGGCATTTTTTTGTCAAAGCAATCTCCATTTACACTTTATACACATATGTGTTATACATGTATGCAAGGCCAATATCTGATTATGAACAATAATGATTTTCCTATGTTCTTATTTTCCTCTAGTCTTAACAGTATGAATTGTCCTCTTGTAATACATTTTCTGCGATTAACTACTCCTAAAAACAGCTCACGTGGAAAAAGTTAATAAATTGTTGCCACGATTGTTAAAAAACTTAGTTTACTAAAACACTTACTGTAGTTAAAGTGGTGGTCCAGAGTGTATTTTTAAGGCTTGGTTGTTTTTGAAAGATGCAAAGCAAAGTGTGTTCATGCTTCATTTGTAGAAAATCATGTTATTTTTTTCATATACCTTACTTTGATTATATATAGCTACTCAGCTAACATAAAAACGACTCATAATTCCTAGTTCCTCCGAAAGGCCCACCCTCAAGAGGCTCTGATTGGTCAGCTAATATAATGTTATATGATTCGTAGATCAGCTTCATGTCAACAGAAAAAGCATCACGCATCTAATAGCACGCGCTGTGCCTCTGCTGTGTAAATACTGTCAGTCAGTTTAGCTGTTAGCCATATCAGTTTGAGCCTGAATCAGACAGAAAATGAAATGGACACAGCTGATCCTCACACCTGCTGTTTTTATCATATATTCAGAATAGGCATAATATAAAACGTTCACATATCATTTGTAAGTTTGTTATTTAAGATGCAGAATGCAGCGCTGCTGAAGATTGAGTTTGTTTACAGAGGGTCACAAATAAATATAAATTTGTAGCTAAACTGTTAGTGGTGCCAAACAGCATTTCCCATAGTTTACATCCTTGTTAAATCCTCGCTATAACATATTGTTAACGCTAGACACTGTGCATGAAATAGATCAATTTTAACAAATAAAAATACTTACAGGTTGCGGCTCACAATCCACAGCTTCTTCTATCATGGTAGGAGCTGCTCCTTCTCGGAGGAGTTTTTAGCCGAATCCAGCGATGAGATTCTGGAAGCTGTCCTTTGTCAAATGCTATCTATATCTTTTTTATAATTATCTGGAACATAATTAAAAATAAATTGTAAGCCCTTCTCTCGTTGTGTCATATTCTTTGGAAGCCCAAATACAGAAAAAGAACGAGCTCTGAGGAAATAGCAGAGTTTAGACCGCATTAGCTTTATCTGCTATAACATTACAGCACCTCTGGCCACACCCCTTCGCTGCACGTGGTGAATGCTTCATTTGCTGTAGGCTTTGCTATTGGGTAAAAGTCAGTGTCTACCTTTGCATTGAACTTTGAGCGTATTACATTAAGATATCTTGTTTATGTTTACAAATCTACAATACACATCAAGTAAAGTTTAAAATGTGATATCATAGTGGACCACCCTTTTAATAGAAATGAGTATAGATGTGAAAAAACCTAAAGAAAATAAATTAATCTCTCTATGCGCATCCATGAATTATATTAATTTGTAAATGCCTCATTAAGCCACCCACAGCACCCCCAACAATTTATTTTAAATATATATTGACTTTTTTTAACCTAAATTAAAGCAAAACATGGAAAAATCCAACTGCTGGAGAAAAAAAATAATGTAAAACAATTAACTCTTAAAATTAGAAGTTGGTTGCAGTAGACCTTGTGGGTTGCAACTGGAAGGGCATCCGTTGCGTAAAACATATGCTGGATAGTTGACGGTTCATTCTGCTGTGGCGACCCCAGATGAATAAAAAGACTAAGCCGAAGGAAAATGAATGAATGAATGAATGAAAAACTTTCCCAGCATTTTAAGTTTAAAAATGGCTAAAAAGTTTTTCATTGTAAAAACACTATCTTTAAATGTATATAATTTTCTCAATGATAAATATACTTTGAAAGAAACATATTTCCTACTTGTATGCAAGGATGAAGGATTATGTTGCATAAAAATATAACTGCAATACAGAAATCACAAATAAATCAGGTTTCTTGACAGATCTATTTTGTAGATCTCAGTGTCCCACAGCTGCAAGAGAAGCTTCACTTTATCAGATTTCAACAGATTCACCCACTGGACGGTTGGCTGAGGGGAGACGGGGGTCCCTGAGTAGGAAGTGGGGTGAAAGTAAAACCCGTTGCTGGGCGACTGAATCATAGTTGCTATGGTGAACTTGAGTTGAGCAGCTGGTCCAATCAGCTGAGACGTGCAGGGCAGAGCAGATCTCATACTAAAGAGTGTGATGCAGAAACACGTGGGAGGAAGAGACAGAGAGAGAGAGAGAGAGAGAGAGAGAGAGAGAGAAGAGAGGAGGGAGTGATGTACAAGAGGATGCAGAGAACGAAAACTGACAGTGGAGGGAAGTTGTAAAAAAGGCAAGAGAACAAATTGAATAAAATGCACAGAAAAAGAGACGTGTTTTCTGCAGTGGATCCTTTTATAGTTGTGCATAATATGAACATTACTTTTTTTGTATTATTTACAGTTGAAGTCAGATTTATTAGCACCCCTTTGAATTTTTTCTTTATAATTATCTTTTTTTATTTCCCAAATGATGTTTAACAGAGCAAGTAAATGCATGCACAGTATGTCTGATAATATTTTTTCTTCTGGAGAAAATCTTATTTGTTTTATTTCGGCTAGGATAAAAGCAGTTTTAAATTTATTAAACACCATTTTAAGGACAAAATTATTAGCCCCTTTAAGCTATATTTTGTTGCTATAGTCTATAGATCAAACCATTGTCAAACAATAACTTGCCTATTTACCCTGACCTGCCTAGTTATCCTACACTGTAAAAAATTTCCAGGTTTTCACAACAAGTTACTGTAATTTTTCACAGTAAATTACATTAGTATCCCTTCACAGTATTTAACTGAAAAATTCACAGTAATATGTTGTATTCATGATTTTATTGTGAAATTACGGCAGGTAGCATGATTACAGCAAATTACTGTGAAAAGGGCTATATCTTTTGCACGTTAGTTATAGAAATTCAAACCTTTTTTAAACTCAACGTAGAAATTAATACAAATGAACTTTTAACAGCTAATAACAGAATGTTATAGCCCCCAAAACGATTTGGTTACCAACATCTTTTTGGTTGTACTGGTTGTACTGCACCTTTATTTAATTTTATACAGTTAACATAGAATAGGAAATAATATTTAATGAACATAACTGTGTGCTTAGCCAAAACATAATAAACTGGAATAAAAAGTAATTAATTAATGAAACCAAAGACTGTTAAACAGCCAACAATTATTTCAATGTCAGGGTAAATGTCTGCTTTAGACGGTTTCATGAGTATTGAGCACCTGTCATCGCCTGGAGGTCACTAATCTCAGAATTAAATATATATATATATAAATTATTATTTTTTTATCTATATAAATAAACTACAGATTAGAGTTTTAAACAACTACATTCTAGCATGAAAAACTTAAAACTTCATTTTCGGACGCATATAGAGCCATCGAAGACGGGGCAATTGTCCCAATGTCTAGCCTGAAGACAGGCGCCTCTCGGCGGATACATGAGTAAAGAGCGCCGTTACCGCCTGGAGGTCATAGATCTCCGCTACCGGCAAAACACACTTAAAATTACACACAATCTTTACTAACAGTCCACAGATTTGAGTTTTGAAGAACTACATTCTCGCATGAAAAAGTGTTAAAACTTTATTTCATTACATATTACAAGCAATATTTATAATATTATGTGCCTTCTCATCCACCATTACAGCTTGATGCAGCTTGGTGCGAAATGAATCCTGGGAAGAAAAAATAATAATTCTCAATACACTCCAAACGAACTTTATTCTTATTGTTGAAGTCAGAGATATGTAATGTTTTGAATGGCGAAGAAAATAATAACCTTTATATTTCAATCAATATATTACTTTTGCACTGCTTCGGTTCAGGACTCGTGTGACATTGAATCAGATTCAGATATTTTATCAGACGTGTTCATGAGCTCGAAGTCATCAACAAGCAATTCGTGTACAAGCAGTACACGAACCAAGCAATATGATGAAATATTAATGAATTATATGTTTGCGTCTTACAATATTATACAAAACGGAATCGTTTTCAGGCGAATTCGACTCTTTACTGTTCACTTAAAGGAGCCGAATTCGACTCTTTACTGTTCACTTAAAGGAGCCGATTCATTGAACAAAACTGACTCGACTCGACCGCAAACAAGCGCCATCACCACAGACAACGCCGTCGTCTCTTCACCCAACGGATTCATCCT